GTTTCAGTTCGATCAGGAGATTTTTTGGAAGGTGAACATGAAACGTCCAAATTTGTTAGGGAAATACTTCAGTTGGGCGGGGTCAATTATGCGAGAAATGCTTTCAGCAGTGGAAGTGCAATTTTCCAATTTCTCACAATCAGCATTGTTCGAAGTTGTTTAAAGAATCAGTCTAAACTAACAAGTGGTTCGATTTATTCGTCACTCTCGAGCTTTATGCATCTTCAAACATTTGCCCTTCGCAACATCGAAGCCTGCCAAGGCAAATTCCATCTGTTTTAGTTTACACATCCACTTCACCCTCTTATACAAATGATCAGACATGTTAACAGTTCCCTACCATACTTCTTCCTTTCGGTGTCTTACAGTCAAACTGCACTTAATGCGCACCAACTAATAAATTTGATTGAATCACTCAACTACGTTTGAATCACCCGGAAACGGCAATTGAATACTCAACGAATGTAAATTCTCTAAACATCTCGAAATAAATATTTTGTGAGTTATCTTCAAAACATTGATAATGTTTGGCCCATTTGATGATCGTTCTGGTCACAACAAGGACATTGCCGTTACATACGTCTTAATTCGGCTGATGAAAAGAACCAAAGGGATTATTTAGGTAAAGAACCACATCTGTATGCATATTTGCGGTCAGCCATGGAATCTATCAACACCAAATCCAATAAAATCACTCATTTTGTTTGAAATTTTAAGCAATCTGATGACTTCTGCCGCTAATGATTGTTCAGCTAGAAATTTTCGTTTTTCAGAGGGAGAGACGAAATTTGTGAAAGCGAAGAGTGAGTAATAAGTGATTTTTCTAATCAAATTTCCTCTGTCAATCATTCAATCGATATTGCACGACTGGTTCTGCGTCATTTTCGATTATATATTTGCGCTATGAAATTTTTGTGATAAGCATTAGTTGGCTATGATAAGACGTTAATAACAGCAGCTGTGTGCGGAAAATGAATCTCAGTCATATTGCTTTCATGCAGTTTTATTTAGCTACTTGTACTGCATTATTAGTATTGTTTACACAACACACTGTGAGTTTTGCCTTTTATTTTCAATTTCTGCAAATTCGTCGCTCCGCGGTTGATATTTTCATTTGAGAATATAGAATTTGCAAACTTGGGTCTCAGAAGAAGACTGCTAAGTTTCGGAGACAATTGAAGAATTCAGTGACTCTTGCATTGATATTAAGTTTCCGAAGGATTCAGATTGCACAACTTTCTGCACATTTATGAATTTAGTAAAGTCTCAGCAGTTGAATAGTTAGAGGTCAGTCGATGTGGCCGTCTGCTGGAAAATAACCATCCAAATTGAGGTGTGCTCGATGAGGATCAGTGAATGGATACAAGATGAATTATGAATATTTTAACATAAATTAAGTCAGTCAAATTTCAGGAATCGACCACTCATCTATCGAGCATCTCCAAGCGTTTCATACCATTTTTTTGCCAATCACAAAACATATGCTACACAGAGCCGGTTGACGTTGGGTGTTTTTCGATTAAATTCCTCGGTGAATTCTGTCGCCACGGCGTTCTGCCACAGAGTCCAGCGGAGTTGGATCCTGTTTTCCATGTTTACTCAACGTGATTTTTCAATAGGAATTTCTTGAGTATATCATCAGCATTGACTTTTCATACAGCATTTTGTCTGTATTTTCACCTCATCACATCATTTGCTGCGTTCGAGAGGTGATTCCTTTGCATTGTGAGTAACCTGTATCATATCATTTCAGGAATGATACCCATTCGGTGATACATCTGCATTCAATCGTGAACGATACAAAATCAGCTGTTTTCTCAACCGAACATGATATAGTACTTATCATTCATGGATGGGGTAGTAATAACAAAACGTGGATGATGGATATGATGAACGCCTTTCAACAGCACAAGGTGATCAAAGCTTCAGTAATTTATCGTGATTGAATTCTATCCCATAGTATCATTTTGGTGCACTACTTCAACATTTAATATTCCATATTATCTTAACAGCAGAGTTGAATCGGCAGCCATCGAAACTTGTTGGTTCTCGAAAATCGATTTCTATGTCCACCGAGATCAACAACGGCTGATCGGTCGGTGGGTATGGAAAACCGAATTTCGACGGCTTCTGTCGGATTCTATGTTCAATTGCTAAGGAACGCAATATGCTACGTGCATGCAGCAAATCACAATAATGTTTCATTGTTGAATATCCACAATATTTAGAATGTAAACAGTCAGGAAATCTTGCCTGATTATTATATGATGGGCAAAATTTTTGGTTTGTCTTTGATAACTGGTAGTAGTGCTCTAATATTATGAAGTGATTCATTCAGACGGAGCGGATGAATCATTCTGTACTCACGACAGCCCTCAGAATAACAAGTGTTATGATTAACGCTTTGACAGCAAGTAAAAACGCTGTATCTCATAGAGAACAGTTCCATACGCTATGATTACACAACGCTTTGAATACAAGAGTTTAACGCTACTTCCACCAAGCACTTTCAGCAATAGCTAGTTTCTGGATCTTCAAAATGAACTGATCAATGAAGTGTTGCCAGGTCGCACTCAGCACCCGATGATAATCCATAGTAATTAGAAAACACTACATCAAATTCTAGAGTAATTATAGAAACAGTTAAATCCAGTAAAACATCCACGTTATCTGGTCGCAGAATATTTACAGTAGATACTCCGATCGCTCTGTAGAACGCATAGAGCTATATTTTTTGTGATGCAATTAACCAATGCATCTGAAGACTGATCTATATTTGTGCTTCTCTTCCGACTGCTTGTTGCGCATATTATATCCAGACATCACGTCAAGCTTTTATAGAAACAGTTGGGGGAGTATATTTGAGAAATGTGACATTTGCAGTCAGTCAACATTATATTATGCTATTGGCTTCTGGGCGCAGCGTCACCGAATTATATGCAAGCTGCTGCCAATACACGTGTAATGGGTGCGCTGATGGCGCACTTGATTAAACTTATCAATCGGTATCACAAAATCAGTTATGATCAAATATCGATCGTTGGCTTCAGTCTCGGTGCACACGCGGCCGGTTTTGCTGGGAAGCGTTTCAGTGGTACAAAGCTGAAAGCTATTTACGGTGGTGTTTTTGCACTTGCTTTTTATCTCGTCATTTTCAGCAACATATGGATGTGTATGTTTTCTTAAATACGAAATTTTTGAGCGTTTTGATGCGATTATATGCGGTGTTCTGATTACAGTTCATACTTCTCACAGCAGATTGCAAAATGACAGTTTTTTTTGGGGGCTGAAACGCACAATGTCTGACTTTCAGAAGTGACTAATTTGAACCAAAATCTGTCATTCGATTAGCTGCAGAAATCAAGATCTCTATACTGCGATGAAAAGGATGTTCTTATTCTTATTCGTTTCAGGTCTTGATCCAGCAGGTCCATTATTTTCAAAAGCCAACCCAAATCGTTTATACGGGACAGTGTAAGATGTTCTATCTTCCCTTCATAACTATTGACATTGTCAGATATCAAAATGTCTTCGTCGAGTTGAAATTATTAGAAAATGCCGAATGGAAAAGAGGAAAATATTATTAAGAAGTATCTGCGAGACGAAATCCATTATCAATTCATGAGAATGTACTTTATCATATAAATGCAGATATTTGTCAGTGGTTCATGTTGAATTTGGGATGTCTCCAAAATGTTTCTCAGGGTTGAATATCGGAAGATATTCACTAAAAATTGATCTCAGTTGTAACTGCGAGAATCTGAGGATGAACACAAACGAAAATACGGAATCACTCATTTCGAAGTTTGTTCCCAATTGCTGACGAAAAACAATTTCAGTCCACCCGGTGAGCGCTTAAGCCGAACTGACGCACAATACGTGCAAGTTTTTCATACAAGTGGTGATGTGATGTGGAGGTTCGTTAATGAAGAAAACGTCGATAACTTACGTTAAATCACTTTTCAGAGGAGTCGTTCCCTGTTACTACTAACATTAAGAGAGATGATGAAATGAATATGGCGTGTGCAGCTGGAAGTCTGAACTAATTTGAACTAATGATTGAACTAATTTGACAGACTTTCTTGTAGTAACTTGCGAATGCTATGACGACATCCTCGATTCAACCGATAGTTATTGATATTGAACGGAGTCCATTTTCACGCAAACGTTCCCATAGGTTGATTTTTGCTAGTTGAAATTTAAGAAAGTTTTGAGCCGTAGGAAATTTAAGAGGTGGCGCCGGAACGTTGGAAAGGCTTGGTGATGAGGATTACTACGTGAATGGAGGTCGACTTCAATTGGGTTGTTCAGAAGCTATTGGAGCGACTGCATTCGCCCTTCGAGCGTTGCTATCAACTGATCTTAGCAATGATTGTTAGTAACCATGAATTGACGAAGTGATACGGAGTATACATTCAAGCTTACATCTTTCATCAGTGTGGAATCACTTGAACTTCAGTTCAATTTTCGGTTTCCATCGTGAACAAACCTAAGTTTCAATGTAAGCTTTCGGAGCAACACATCACTTATTGTATTCTCAGTTGTGCTGATGCAAGACGATCTTTCGTGCAATCACAAACGTGCAATTTACGTGTTCATCGATACCATCAAATCGCCATGTCACATCGCGTTTCGGTGTGATAACGAGGAAGAATGGAATAACGGCGAATGTTTCGGTGAAGCTTTTAAACATTCTTTATTTCGTCATTCATTTGCATCCTAACTTTAAGATTATAAAGTTATCTATGAAAAGCATTCATTCAAATCTCATGAAAGCATCGTGTATGAGACGCATACTATTTGATCTATCTGAAATCATTTCAATTTTGCCGTATGATCCATCACAGAGCAAATATATGATAGCGGAATTGTTCTCCCAAAAGAATTTGCTAAGAGGTGAAGGAGTGATTTTAAAGAATTTTCAATGATGTGTGCATTATGATATAGGTTGAAATTAGCAACTTCTTTGCCAGTTCAAATTTATGTTATGGATTGAGTTTTGTGTTCGGTTGATAGTCTATCACATTACTTCGTCGTACAACACTGCTGATAAGATCCAGTTCGCAGGTAACACGAAAGTTATTGCTGGCTACACTGAAGACCCGCCGTCCATCAATAAAACATCTGAATCGTCTACGTTCTATTTCGATACGCTTGCGGAAAGGTTTGATGAGAATGGATTTTGCGGTTTGTGTCTCACTCCTTGAATCGACACTTTTAAAGTTTGAGATTCTATGGTTCAATTTGATTTTGCCTAGTAGAAATATGTAATATATAAGCGAGTGAATGAGGCGGGATGATGTAGGAGAATTTCTCTTTGTACGCGTTGTTTCAAATAATTGCTGAATTTCAAAATGTAAAAATGCTCAGAAATACACATGAAGTAAATTTTCGTCTTCACATTTAGTCAAATTTTTGAAAAATTCGGTGGAAGAATAAATAGCGAAGTGGAAATGAGTTTGCACTGAAACATTTTAAAGGTATTATTTTCAAGATGACATGAATAAATTTAGAGAAGTTTACGTTTCATACAAATCTACGATTAAGTTTATTGCTTAATAACGATTGCACGGTACAATTGATAAAATGGTTGTTTCCATAATGATTTTGAGCAGTTCTCGGGAAGGTTTGGGGCAATCTGATTCTAGCACAAAGTCTCGCTCATGTCTTTTCTCTGTAGCTTACTCAGAAGCGTATGGTTCTACTGGCTTGAAAATTACTTTGATAAAACAATGCGGATGCTGAGTAGCGAAAATGATGAAAATTCAGCTGAGCTGTTCTGTCTTCAAGTGACAACGAACGTGACATCAGAGGCATCAGTTGATATAACAATACGAAACAATCAAGGACAATCCCTGTATTCAACTCAAGTCAGAAAGGGCAGGTTACGACATTATTGCCCGTATTGTGAATTTTTTTGAAATACCCAACCGAATTTTGATGAGGCACTCATGCCTCGCAATCACATATTTTAGAATCAATGGGCAGATGAACTCAATCAGGGTTTATCAATCGGGGGTGTGCGCACCCCCCACGATTATGAGACAGTATTCCAGAGTATGCAAGATAAAGTTTTACATTTTGTACATTAGAGGCGATGATCGTGTTCACCGCATACATGTGTGTAAAGTAGATGAGGTAGACTTCCACATATATTTTTGAAAAGGCCAGAACGCACTGTAATGGTATTCACTTATCTCCACTATAGACACTGTTGATGAGAGATACAGAACAGTTGTGAGGGGTACCAGGACATTTTATCTATTGTTGTACGGGGTGCAAAGGGAAAAGGGTTGAGAACTACCACCGAACTAGGTGAATGCATTGAATGTTACGTTCGTTTCAGTGCACGATACATGAATTTCACGGCCAACGAGACACAATCCATAATCGTTGCGCTGCCTCGTGGATTCGTTACAGTTGAAAACTATACGGTTACAGTCTTCGCAAAATACTCGCACAAAAGCGTAATTGCTCGCAATGAAACGCTTGAAATACCCGCTCAAACAACACTTGTGGACGGGGATGGCATCGCGTCAGTTTTCCTTTTGTTAAGTCAGACGTTATTTTACGCATTCTGCTGACTCGTTTCTATCGTCAATTGTTTGGTTACCTTTCTTTGTCGGAAAATAGCAACAGCAACTGAAAATTCCCGACTACTGCTCCTTCCTGAGATCGGCTTTTGGTTGTTATTGTTTGTGATTTTGGTTGGGACCGCTTGTGTTGTTAGCTGTGTTGCTGGTGCGAAAGCGACGATTAATAATTTAGTTTATCCACACAATAAATGAAGACGATAATGACGGTTCAATGCAGTGAAGATGGTTGAGTGACGAGAGATGCCGATGATGGCTCATAAACAACAACAACACTGGATACACGAACAACACACTAACTGACTAATACGGAGGAACTGATATAACTACACTGAGCTACTTATATAGTCATTGAGATTGGCTGATTACGAAACAATGGTTACGAATTGCCAATGATGGTGAGAGAACACATGATATGCAAAGCACTATAGACAGACATACAAGAAACCGTAAACAATAAACAAAAGATCACCGGTTTATCACAACATGATCCTTCAGTTATAAACTCATCCATGTGGAAGATCCATTAGAAAATTTGATTTTTAGAGTATTGCGATTGAGCAGTCTCTTAATTCCATGGAATTTCGAATCAATTTCGGCAAAATTGTGAAACTTTTAGTCAGAACTTTCATAACGAATAAAATGATACTCTTGGAGCATTTTTTTGAAACTTTAATTTTGATCAAGTTGTGAAGTGGTCTGGTGATCTCGTGAACGTCTTGGGCTTCTATAGTAAAGGCACGAGCCTATAGTCTATGAATTTGATAAGTGAACAAAAGTAGTCCATCTTATTATAAAATATGACAGATTTTTTCCACCACAGTGATTTCATATCTAGTATATTTCATAACAAAATTCTGATCAGAATGACTTAATAGATTCACTCGTTTGAGAAGTTTGTCAAATGATTGATTGATAATGTTGTAAAGTAACAGACTGGTATCTGCTCATAACTAGAAACGTAAACTTTTTTCATCATGACGCGGTGTGAACCATAATGATTTAGTCTCATCTTCCGTAGTTCTTGCACCACAAGTTCACATTCAGCAATCGCACGATTTATCTGTGACACATCTCCTGGAATAGCTAACGATGAATGCGTTAAGAATTAGTTCGTCACGTCTGAATGTTTAAAGACTCTTCTGTCAGTCTGATTGCGAAACGATAATTTGCCGTAAAAATTTATGCCTATAGATAAGAATATTTGTTATTGAGGGCTGATTCGAACAGAAAATGACTGTCTTATGTTAGCTAGAAGTAAAATTTTCATAATCTGTTTCGCTTCTCAATATCTTCAAAACCGCCTATTGATCTTATTTAGAAATGAAATGATCAGTCTTTCATTTCAGTCACATTAAACGACATTGTTTCCAAATTCATTTCGGAATTCCAGAAGCAATATCTCATATGCGCATCAGCCACATTTGCGTTTTAATATCAGAGAATAGCGAATGAGCTCTACAGGGAGCATGCTTAGGGTACGATCAAGGCATGATCAGTTCTGGGCATGTTACTTCAGCCACTATCATTTCAGGCATCCCGAGGTTGATCTTATGGATGACGATTCAGAAGGAGATGACGGTAACAACACAACGGATTCATGGAGTCGATGGATGATTGCTCTCTTTTTCACGGCATGTTGTTTTGTTGTCGTTGTAATTGTTGCACTTTGTATCTTTACATTGTACCTTTTGATTTTGTATGCCTGCTCATGATCAATTGTTCTCTGCCTTTGAATTTTGTTTCGTCGCACGTGAATTGTATGGTTATCGAGTACAGGTATATCAGGTATAAAAGGTATGCTCATCATAAAGTTTGAGTGTTCAACCGGTACGTAAATGAAATTATTTTGCGAGCATGTTTGGTACCGACATTATACAATCAGTACGACGTTCTCTATTTAGATTTTTTGTTCATACGTTGCTGATAACGAATAAACGTGTATATTTGACTTAATGATGAGAAAGATAAATCGACTGCTCAAAACTGATATGCGTGATGAGGCATATGATAACAATTGATAATGACGGCAATAAGACATCTGTGTTGAATTTTTATCAAAGAGATAAGACTGCAATGGGTCAATTGTAAACCATCTCTCTACCCACTCAGATTTTGTGTTTAATCAGTCTTTGTCGAATTGTTAAAAAAAAAGTTCGATTGATTGTTTGAGGAGAGCATCATGTTGATTTATCAAACAACTTTTTAAATCATTTCTGTTATCGTCACGTCACTTGTAATGCAACACTGAGGGAACTTTTTTATTTCTCTACTCAGTCAAATGAATGTTTCAGATGATGCGATTGATTAATTACCGACGACCATGATGATAGCTGCAGTGATAATGAAACTGCTCATGATAGTGGTTTGTGGACGATGATGCGATTTGATGCAGTTGATCATCGTTTTTTTTTCAATGAATTGATCACTTCTGAAAAGATTTCACTCCTGCCGAATTTGAAAAATTCACCGATCAACATCATTTTTTCGGTTATGAAAGAATACATTGATGCCAAGTTGCACTACATTATCAAAATGACAAAAAATATCAGTCTAATCCTGAAAAACAAAATCCTTTTCGGAGGAGTTCAGCTGCTCAGGATCTTTGAATAGGTAGTAGAGGCTGAGATGTCAATCGTCGATCGTTAGTAATGGAGAAACGTACCGAAGTCCACTGAATGGTGGAAATATTCAGTCTTATAGAATCAGAACTGCTGATTGCTTACCACACTTTTCAGCTTTAACTTGTGGCTTAAAATCATCGCTTTCACTGTAAGTATAAGGATACTCATACTGATAGAAAAAAAAGTCAGCAGGGGTTTATCTCTTCGACTTGAGTTTTGAAGCGATGAAGTCTCGCTGAGTCATTTGGCATGCTTTTCTGCACATGTTGACTAATTCATAAGTTGACATTTGTTCATATGTTTACTGAGTCAGCTGAACCACTCTTGATAGTCGTCAACTGCACGGTCTGATAATTTTGAAAATAAAAATTTCTCGTAAAAACAAATAAGTTTGACCATTTAGGCGACGTTCGATATGTGTTTACTTGTTTAGTGTAAGAACTTATGTTTCCGGTTGAAGTACTAATTTTCATAAATAGAGGAAGTTACATTCTTCAGAGTAGAGAAGACGTTATTTATTAGGATTGACCTTGGAACTCATCCGAATACAACTTTTCAACACCACCTCGATGATGCACAGGAGCGAAACGTGTGCACTGACGAAGACAGAGGAACAGAAGTTAGCAGTGTTGGGCAATAGCGCGCTATTCCGCTAGTCCGCTAATAGCGAATAGCGGAATAGCGGAATAGCGATATCGGAAGCTCGAGTGAATAGCGGAATAGCGATAGCGGGAACGGCGCTATCGCTGTTCGATAGCGAGCAACTTTCGCTATATTCCGCTATCTTCCGCTATC